AACACATAAATAAGTTAAAATACTCCAGACTATAATAATGACAGCGGCCGATACGGTAATTAATAAAAATTGATCTTTAATAGCCGTAAAGATCTGTTCTGCTGGCGATTATGCATAGTTAGGTAGCATTGATGAACTAATAATGCACGAGATATTGAAAATTGCAGCAGTAGATATTCATGGCGTTTAACGTTCCGCAGTTAGTATATCGCAGTCAATGCCGGTAAGTATTATCTGGTGCGTACTGAAATAATTGCAGGAAATCAGAGGTCTTCCACAACAGACGGTTGCCAGAGATAAACCGACGCGCTCATTACTATCTCCGTGAAAGTGGTTGAGTTTGAAAGCGACTTCAACAGTATAACATTTCACATTGGATGAAGCGAATGCTTCCGTTTCGTTAAGATCTACCGTTCGAACCGTAAGTTCGATGATTGTTTTGAAGCAATTATTAATGTCAGGAATGGTTGTTAATTTAGCAGTTACGTAATCACTTTGATGTTTCTTTTAAATCAAAATTCGAATTAAAGACTGTCCATAGGAGGGTAGTTAATTGAAGATCATGGACCATTTAGTAATCGCTGTTAAATCAAGACCAGCAAGCCTTTATGATGATCAATATTTGGCAAAGACGTGAATGGTCATTAATGGAAAGGTGATGTCGTCAAAAATTGATATATCAGTTTAGCCAACGCATTTGTTTCATGGTATCGTTACCATAAAATGATCAAGATCTCCACTGTACTTCAGAATTTGGCACCACGAGTTTAATCTTTTATATTTCTCGGTTATTACAGTCAGAAGATTACGCGCTTCGATATCGTAGGAAATGCGTTAATATGGTTTGTTATTCAGTAAAGTAAAGCGTCATCAATGCCTTTGCTGGGCAAGTTTTGAAATTGACATTTTAATTCGCACTTTCGTTCATTACTTCGATAGCCGTTAAGTACAAATAGCCCACAAAGCACAACGATTTGGCATTACGTCAATTCTTGAACAATAGCGAATTCCTTACGTCCGTTGACGTTATCGCCCCTTAAGAATAACAGGTTCAACCGATAGAATCCTTCGTTATCACACCACCTTTCTAACGCCATCGAAACAAAGATATTGTGAAAGTTGAAATCATTAACGGTTATGTTGATGCTCATAATATCACTACACCTTGAATCCGAATTGATAAAGTTCAACTAAATGAGGTCAATTGGTATTGAAACATCAATAATAAAGTTTATGGGGATCATTCGAAACAGTGAATAAAGCGTTTAGTCAACAGATATTATCGAATATCGCCATATTGTGAGAATTGTTTGCTCATTGTCAACACTGTTCATACAAAGTTTAGTATTCGAGGTATCAGTTGTAATTGTTACATCAACACCGTCATTTCAGCGCAAATCGTTAACGTTGATGGTACTTCATTTCTAAATATTTTCAGTTGAATCTTCGGTCGTATCGAAAAGAGTTGTCGACAACGAATAGCATATCAGATTGACGATACGCCACATTTACGCATAACCAGTCCATTGTATTATTGTTCAATGAAATTATCATATGTTGGTCTTCAAATCATCACCGTTATTTCCATCAGCAGTTCCAGTTTTTCCTTATCATTCGTTATTCCAGATTTCACGGTTGCCACATTCAATAATGTCACTCTTCCGTTACCCCGTTCTCTCGTTTTCAATTGTTGATACTTGCAAAATATGCCGTTATGATCATAAGTATCCAAGAATACGCAGGAAATATATACGCTATCAAACTGAGATATTATACAAGCCTCATGTTGTTACTATGATACATGATATATAGCACATCGAACTCCTTATTCCATACTATAGCCTTGTTGTGGAAACAAGAATATTATGAACAATATGATACCACATTGCTATTAAAGTTAACTTTAAATAGTTGATCGGTGTAGACGTAAGAAATGGTTGAAGATGAATGTTCATTAATGTCACAGGGTACCAGTGGTTTCAGACATCATTTCTCCATCGAAAGTCAATAAATAATGAAAGTACTAATGATATCAATTATCACATCATTTATAGCAAAGGAATCATTCGAGACCGTTGATTGATTGATTATACGTGATTGACATTCAGCGTTGTTGTTCTTTTGGTTTACGTATTATCAAGTTGGAGTTCAATCATCAGCCCATTGGTATCGATCCATTCAGAATACTCGGCAGCGTCATATTCGTTGATTCCCAGATCCATGAAATCGTATTCATTGTCGAAGGAAGATTTGTCGATCAGGTCCTGGAGTTCATATTTCATGTCGATCTGAATCTCAGGACGTGTCATAGCAGCATCATGTTGAGAATTGTCAGTATGCCAAAGATACCGCTCAACTCGCCCGCCAGCCGCAGCTGGTTCCCGCGATGGTTGTTCGACTTCGCGCAGATACGACCGGTTTTATTGCGTCTTCCAACACTCCTGCGCCTTTAATTCAAAGTTCAGATGCAGATAAAGTATGGGCTCAAGTTCCTGTTTTCAAACAAGTCTCCTTCGACCCAATGAGATACACAGGTTTCATAAGGATAAGGATGCCAAGCTTAAAGTCACTGGCTGGTGATGTTCTTGCAGCCGCCCAGGCTATTCCTGAGATAGTTCGATACCAGTGCAAGACAGATTGTTGAACTCAACGATGTGTACATGCAAAACCAAAAGACTTTACTATGTAATTGAATGTCAATGCAGTAATCATCAGAGAATGACGGAGTCTCGGCGGAGGGAAACAGTTCCCTTTATATAAACATGAGTGTGAATAGTTGTGGAAAGACCTCCTCCTTTGGTGACATTGTAGATATTTACTTCTCATTATTTATTGCTAACTTTTCGATTGGAGAATGATTACATGTCTGAAACCTGGCAAATTCTTGGTGACATTGTGACATTCATCTTCAACCATTTCTTTACGTCACTTCACACCACTGGATCAACAATGTTAGCAGTTTGCTAGCTTCCTTAATAGCTAATGTGGTTATCATAACATTCATAATATTCTTGTTTCCCACAAAAAAGCAAAATATAAGTATGGCAGTATAGAGGAGTCTGGGAGTTCAGCGTATATATATCATATATATATCATAAATAGCTGCTGGTGAAAACATATAATATCCTCAATTTGGTACATAGCAGTATATTTTCCCCGCATGTATACACAGTAACTGTCTTGGATACTTGTAATCCTTAACAGCATATATTTTGCAAATATATTGTGAAAATAACAGAAACAGAATAGCACTTCTAAAGGTGAAAAAAGGGTGACATTATTTGAATGTGCAGCCATGTTGAAATCTAAGATGGCTGCCACTTGGATGATGGGAAAACTGGAAACATTGCTTTTACATTAAATGTAGTGAGTGGTTTAAGAAGATGTATACTGTTGCTAATCTCCAATTTCATTGAACGAAAATACATAATAAATGGACTACAACGTTTATGCATAAATGTGGCATGTAAGAGTGATCCGAATCATTCTGACAATATGCGTGTTGTTATTATCTTTCTGTTTACATTGGGAACAACTGAAATATTTAGAAATGAGAAGTACCATCAACGTTGTACGTGAATTTGCATAAGTCATGGCATCACGCTGACGAAAACTATAATATATTGTGTTGAATGTAGCAAACCACTGGAATACACCTGGCTACGGTACTCTCCCCATGCATGTTCTAAAACGTATGAGCAAGTGAATGCAACGAGTAGGCAAACAGATCTCTACAATATGAGATTGATATTCAGTGTAAAATCTGAAATTGGCTTTTGTTTGCACATTTCAGCGCTGCGTTCGTTTTCACTTCTTGACATATTTCTGAATGATCCCACCGAGGCACTTGGTATTGGTGACACAAACACCAATTGTCATTTAAGTTTGAACTTTTATGAGAAATTCAGGGATTCGAATAAGGAATTGTAGGTGATGTTATAGGCGTAACATAACCGACAAAGATGTGACGTGATTTTCTAACACTCTACAATATCTTGTTTCAGTGGCATTTAGAAGGTGGTGTGATGAACAACAAGGAGAGTTCTATCAGTTTGGGACCTGTGACGTCATATTGCAAGGAACGTAAACCATGACGTGCTTATTTTGGACATAGAACTGTTCATAACTGTTCAAAATATGGAATTGACATAATGCCAAAAATAGATTAGTAACTTCGTGATATTTGTACTGCTTTGGCTATGAAACAACTTGAACACTTTTATGCAAAAAAGTGCAAGACAAAATGTCAATTTCGTGTAAACCTGTTCCCTTAAAGAAAGGCATTGATGATGCCTTTGCGGCGAGTCACACTGAATAACAAATACATAATATGCTTACATTTCCTACGATGTCAAGCATGTCTCCTCTCCTTCAGCAACCCCTGCTGAAATAGCCGAAGCTTGAAAATCTGACTTCTCCTCGTCAAAGGTCGCTCGTGGTTGCCAAATTCACAGAAAGGTACAGTGGAATCTTGATCATTTTTATAAGTATCAACATTGTGACATACTACCCATAGGAAAACAAATACGTTTATAAACAAACTGAATATATCAATTTTTTGACAACAATTCATCACACTCCATTGTGGCCATTCACGTTAAATCTTTTACCAAATAATGATCATCGCAAAACTGCTTGGTCTTGATTTAACTTGTGATTACTAAATAGTCCATAATCTTCAATGCTACATCCATATGGATTAGTCTTTAATTATTTTGAAGATTCAAAGATTACAGTTTACTCCAAAAAGCATCAAAACAGTTACATCCCAGTAACCTTTCATTAACAATACATTCCTGACAACTAATAATTGCTAAAACACAATGTCATGAACTTACAGTTCAGAACAGTACAGAATCTTAACGAAAAACAAACATTTACCTCTACATCACTCCCTCCTCATCCAACTGACATAGTGTAAATGATATACTGTTCAAAGTCGCTTTTAAAACTCAACTCACTCACGGAATGGATGAGAAATAGGCCATGATGAGTTTTACCTGAAGAAATCTCTGGCTTAGCCGTCTGTTTGTGGAAAGGTCCAGGCCTCACAATTTCCTGCAATTATTTCAATTACACACCAAATATATGCACTTACTTATTAATGAACATTGACTGCAATGCCAACAACCCTTAGATTGGCGTCAACTGCATGCATAGGCTCTACTGCCCTTGGCCCTTTCAATATCTGTACATCGTGTGGATTATGTAATGCTACCTAGATTGGTATACATAATCACTATGGGGTAGATCTTGCAAGCTGTGCATCCAAAATCACTATTGTGTAAGATCAATTTTTTATTAGTACCATTATCAGCCATATTTACATAATCATTTATTATAGATACAAATCACTATTTTAACTTGTAGCATACATTTATGTGTTTTACAGGTGAACAATTGACTACCGTTTCCATGTGGTAATGAGAGGTGCTAACAGGAGTGTCCAGGGAAACGCTCACCCATTCAGAGGCTTATTGCTGATGTTTACTTCCGTGTATAATCAATCAATTACCAATGTGTTTCATATTTAACATGAGTGTTTTCATCGTGAATATATGTGAGTTAGCTGCTGGCATATGCATCACGACGGTATATTAGAGATAATTTTTTCAGCTCACAGAAGTGAGTTCTATATGTAACTGGATACAACCAAGCACCTGCTCTTGAATGTCACGTATATAAAATACACACGTGTTAACGGTTCACCGTTAGCAGTGCACTCTATCAGCTGTATCAGCACCTGGCGTCGTTTCTTATTATAGATTGGTTTTGTAGCTTTTATATAGCAGAAAGATCTGCTCATGGGGTTCTCAATACTTGGTAACAGACTGACAGAAATAACAAACAGCTTCTCTAATCTTGGTCACCAAATATGAACGCAGACTCACTTTGATTGCCTCTGGCAGCTCTATATCGTCGTACAGGACAGGACATCCTGGTGTAAGTGCAGGTAGTGCATTTTGGTGAGCCACTCATGAGGAAGAGCTGTAAGTACAAGGTATCTTACATGACCTGTGGCATTATTGAAATGCATGTGCCATTTTGGATATATTTGTACAATGGAAGAGCGTTTGAACAGCACATGTTGTCAAAAGTATTTTGCGATGGCAAAAACTCCAGAAACGAATATTGCATCAATAAGGATATATGACAATAAAGTACACAGAGACACCCCAAATTGTTTCATACTACTCAAAACAACAACATATCTGCGCATAAGTTTAAACATTTCAGCTTCAATTCTCGCACGGGCATACCATATCGATATGATGATCTTACTATACATATCAATGACAAATATATTGTAACGAATTCAGCGTAAGATCACGATTTTGTCAATTGCGTTAGGATATGTGTTTCATCAATCATGAAACATCAATGTGTGGGTCCTGTTGTTCCCACTCCACAAACACCAACCAGCTGTGTTAACAAGTTAGAGATGTATTACGCACTTATGTTTGATGTAACATACCAGAGTACAGTGAATGAAGGTGTTGTTTTCGGAGGTCTCGTTCCTTAAAATAAACAAAGCAATCATTCAAACCATTCATAGTTACACGTCGATAGTGCATGTTATTCATTATCAAACTATTATCTATCCGTCGGTTATACAATGTCTTTATGTACTGAAACAATGTGACAATTAATCATTAGATATAAAGAATGTTATACTGAATATGTGGATGTACTTTCAATGAGTCGACATTGGTATAAATGTACCTTCTCTAGGGTCGACAATATCTCCTGTTGTTCTCTCATGTCTGCAAGACACTGAAGGAGAAGTCCACATATAAACTGAATCAGAGTGAGACGCACTGTTACTGGCATCTGCCACAATGGTATGTCTGAGATTCCACCAACACAAACCACAAACTTTGTATATTTTTATAACACAAACACATCTACAGACAATGGGAAGAGACTATGAGGCATGTGATTGCATAAAGCTCAAACTGTGTGGCATCTGGTGTCACTATTCAGGTTAGGTCTCCCTCCCAATACCTAAATGACCAGGTTACCACAATAGGAAACACTGTCACAATAGATGATCGAATCGAAAACTGGAACAGATGTTTTCAGTGTAATACTTTGTAATATCGCGTTTGAACCCCTTATCCATTCATAGATTCACAACACTGTTTTTTGGTTCAGAGTGAGGTATGTATGTCACGTGACTATGCAAATTAGATGTTGATGTATTTCCAGCAACGTTGTCCATATGTCAAGCTACCAACTTACATATTTGAGTCTCTGCAGCCTTCAAGTTCCGTTCTTTCACTTGCACTGTTGCCACCTCTCAACGCCTCCTAGAAACAGACATGATTCATAAGTCTGCAAGTTGTCGAACCAACAATATTTACTTTCAAGGATAATTTCCACTTTCAACACTTACAACGCGACAATGATCCTACCTTCGATTTTGGTGGCTCTTCAACTAGGCTGTTGTGAGACTCCGTCCATATCTGAGGAGAATGTAAACTTTGATATCAAAATGTGACACTCATTGTATATACACGGTTATGATATTTAAATTAATGATTACTTTTGGCATCATAGTATTCTTTGAACTAGTTCAAAAGAAACTCATGCTATTTTGAACACACTAAGAGCATTTCTGTTTTTTGAATAAACTGACTTACATCAAAAATACGAGGTGAAATGGAAATACGTCGTGTTCTTGCTGTAAATATGGCACTCGTTTGTTTCTCGTCATTTCATCAGTGTTTCATATTTAGTTAGGGAAGCATTATGCAATTTTATATTTTACATTTATGATGCCCAACTAGCAAATACGCATGGAGATACGGGTTACAGTTGATCTTCAGCCACCCATATAGTCGAAAGAGGCCATTATTGTGATTGGGTGGTCAGGCTTTGCATATGTCATTGAATTCCATTTGTATAGATCGATGCTCATGATGTTAATCATTGATGTCTGGTGCAGACTTGATTATTTAGATTGCCGCCATATAGCTAGAACATTACTGATAGCGGCGGATGAACAAACAAAACCAGCAGATGTGTGTACTTTGACCCGATGAAGAAGTCCTTGACATTCTTAAAGTGAGTGAGTGAGTTTTGTTTTTACGCCGCAGTCAGCAATATTCCAGCTATATAGCGGCGGTCTGTAAATAATCGAGTCTGGAACAGACAATCCAGGGATCAACAGCATGAACATCGAGCTACGCTATTGGGATACGATGACATGGGTCAACCCAGTCAGCAAGCCCTGACCACCCTGATCCCGTTAGTCTCCTCTTACAAGCATGGGTTGCTGAAGATCAATTCTAACCCGGACCTTCACGGGTCGTATTCTTAAAGCTTACATGCAACGCAAAGCACAACGTTTCAGATTCTGATACCTTTCGGTATGGACTAACAGTAACAAATTATCAAAAATGCAAATTCAACTTATAAAGTTGAAAATCCCGCGATTAAAAAATCCCGCAAAATCGGAGTTCAAACGATACACTAAATTCAACCCAGCTGGGGTGAAAAGTGGTTTCAACAGTTGTGCTGTGCTGCGCACATAGCGCATGCGCAGTGAATCGGTTCCGCGGCTAGAACCGGCATGCCGGGATTATAAGGTTGTGAGCAGGAGTAGCCTAATCTTGGTTGTGTACACAAAAAAAGTAAATAATCTACTCGTTGCAAAAAAGGACTTTGTTAAGGATCTACTCAGCTATGTGTCAACCAGTGAGGTGTTCGAAATTTCAAGACGGAAAACCTTCACTGGCGGTGAGTACTCGGAGTAGGCTTTGATGTGAGCTCTTTTTCTAATGATTTGTTTATATTTCACAGGCGCGAGCCTTTTATATGTTATGACAGTAAATTACCGATTTAACTGTTTACATAATGTCATTTGACTATTTCACGACATGTTCTTCTTACAGAGTCACTTTCTCAGTCCGATACTTAACAGCAACGTCATCAGAATTTCTGACTCTGATATAGATATGCCTCTGTCACAGACAAAACTCAATGTCTGTTTTATTGACACCTATGTGTCTGCCTGCCTGTCTGCTAATGATAATATGCAATATACAACTTCAATCATTGACCACATGCAATTGATAAAACCCCGTATTTCCCGAGACACAATGTGATAACGCATTTATTAATATGAGGTGCCACGGTTCACAGATTACGGGTCACGGTCACGAGTCAAAGTTCAATCGAAGGGAGTGTTCAGTTTTTTAAAACCCTTCATTTTTGAAACACAATGTTAACATTTTGAATGTTGCAATTTGAAAATATTGCCGGTTGAGTTGTTTATGCCATGTTGACAACAGCTGATCGATTGACCTCAATGCAGCGCACGTTATTTTCTCACTTTGCGTGGTCACCGAGGCGTGGCGGGATAATATGACTTTTGTACTCCCTGATCGCGGATCGGGACGGGTGTACATGGTATTTTATCAGAGTCACGTGAACCAATCAAAACTCGACATTCTTACATGAGGCTGGATAATTTAACTTAACACCTATCAGGTTATACACAATAAACAAAACACATTGATTTATAGTTCGTGCACCTGAGTTCTGTCTGTCATATTATGTACAGTCCGTTTGAGACAAAATGATACCTATTAATTGCAAACTAACACAAAAACAAATAGACATAAAAGAATCAAACCAACACAGACTGCAACAAAAACAAAAGACCAACTCTAGAAAAAAATTGCATAATTTGAGTCTTTAAAATAAAAAAGTTGTTTGAGAAACTGTCATAATTTATTTGTGCGTTTTCCAAGTTTGTTACAAGGGCGCAGGGGCAACTAAAGGAACAGCGCGAAAAGCGAGATGCACGTGCGTTAACGGGTTCTCAACAATTCTTTGAGCTGGCGAGATGACACGTAGCCCAGCTGCACAGACAGGGTGCTGTATGTACTTAGTAATTGCATACAAGGTCACCCCCTGTCATTTTCATCCTTGAAGAAATCATAGACTTTGTAAATTATAGACTTTCATTTTCTCTCACTTTGTCAATCAGCAGTAATCACACGTCTCCGACGTCATTTTTGAACGTGCATCTCGCTTTTTTTCTAGAGTTGGTATGTTGTTTTTGTTGCAGTACGCTTGGTTTGATTCGTTCATGTCTATTTGTTTTTGTGTTAGATTGCAATTCATCGGTATCATTTTGTCTCAAACGGACAGTAATTACACAAACAGGCAGGTGTGATACTTGTACACATAACATGTTATGATGTCCGTTCAATATCTCTATATGTCAATAAAAGACCTCCTAGTACATCAGCTACATCCTGCCCATGTCAATAATCCTAGTACCATCATCTACACCCTGCCCATGTCAATAATCCTAGTACATCATCTACACCCTGCCCATGTCAATAATCCTAGTACCTTGTTTCACCTGTCATCTACACCCTGCCCATGTCAATAATCCTAGTACATCATCTACATCCACTGCCCATGTCAATAATCCTAGTACATCATCTACATCTTGCCTATGTCAATAATCCTAGTATATCATCTACACCCTGCCCATGCTCAATAATCCTAGTACATCATCTACACCTCATGCCCATGTCAATAATCCTAGTATATCAGCTACATCCTGCCCATGTCAATAATCCTAGTACGTCATCTACACCCTACCCATGTCAATAATCCTAGTACATCATCTAGCATGCCATCAGCACATCTTGCCCATGTCAATAATCCTAGTACCTCATCTACACCCTGCCCATGTCAATAATCCTAGTACATCAGCTACATCCTAGCCCATGTCAATAATCCTAGTACATCAGCTACATCCTGCCCATGTCAATAATCCTAGTACGTCATCTACATCCTGCCCATGTCAATAATCCTAGTACATCAGCTACACCCTGCCCATGTCAATAATCCTAGTACCTCATCTACACCCTGCCCATGTCAATAATCCTAGTACGTCATCTACACCCTACCCATGTCAATAATCCTAGTACATCATCTACATCTTGCCCATGTCAATAATCCTAGTACATCATCTACACCCTGCCCATGTCAATAATCCTAGTACGTCATCTACACCCTATGCCCATGTCAATAATCCTAGTACATCATCTACATCCTGCCCATGTCAATAATCCTAGTACGTCATCTACACCCTGCCCATGTCAATAATCCTAGTACATCATCTACATCCTGCCCATGTCAATAATCCTAGTACGTCATCTACACCATGCCCATGTCAATAATCCTAGTACATCAGGTACATCCTGCCCATGTCAATAATCCTAGTACCTCATCTACACCCTGCCCATGTCAATAATCCTAGTACGTCATCTACACCCTGCCCATGTCAATAATCCTAGTACGTCATCTACACCCTGCCCATGTCAATAATCCTAGTACGTCATCTACACACCATCCTGCCCATGTCAATAATCCTAGTACATCAGCTACATCCTGCCCATGTCAATAATCCTAGTACATCATCTACACCCTGCCCATGTCAATAATCCCAGTACAATCTATACACATCTATCCCATACATGTCAATAATCCTAGTACATCATCTACATCCTGCCCATGTCAATAATCCTAGTACGTCATCTACACCCTGCCCATGTCAATAATCCTAGTACATCAGCTACATCCTGCCCATGTCAATAATCCTAGTACGTCATCTACACCATGCCCATGTCAATAATCCCTCTACCCATGCCATGTCAATAATCCTAGTATGTCAATAATACAGTCCATGCCCATGTCAATAATCCTAGTACCTCATCTACATCCTACACCATGCCCATGTCAATAAT